TTGAGATATGGAAGTACATATAGACATGCGTGTTGCCTATTTAGTTGATGGAATTATTGGACAAGGCTCCTCTTGTTCAGAGGAAGGCTGCTGTTTGCTGTTTGGAGGTGTCATTTGATAGAGGGGATTATTTGACATCTCAAATGATAAGTTGGTTATACTTTTGTTGTTCCTTTTGTTCATCTAGTAGGTTGGTCAAATGGTACATGTAAAATACTTTGTTCCACATTAGTTTTCTACAGCAGCAAAAAAGCTCTTCATTTCCCCCCATTCATTATTCTGGTTGCTCATTTATCGTTCTGCCCATGAGAAACAATGGAATAATATAGTTATGGACACAGTATCCATAAACAGGTTTCAGTCATGGCTTGCCACTTCAGAAATATGAATGAAACATTAGAATGCTGCATAAGAATAGTATGAGTCTTAATATGATAATTAGTTTATTTTTTAATTCTTGCCTTAATATGTAACAGAACCTGATGGCATTAGAGGCCAGAGTTATTGGTCTTAATCAGAACCTTGAGGTCATTCTTGTTTTGCCAAACTAGTACAAAGAATGGATGGGTTGTCCATAAATTGCCAGGTTAAACTTGGGTCATTAAAGCTTTTATAATAAAGTAGGTAAGCAACATGAGTTAAAACTTTACACCAAAAAATAAGCATATTAGGAAAAAGCTGCAAAAATGTGTTTCACGGGAAAACTACACATTCATGGAAAAAAAGTATATATTTTTTAATAGCCTTTAAAAAAAAATCATAAACTGATTCAGGGATCAGGCAGGATAAACTTAAAGGTTTTACAAATGATCAGTTCAGCAAAAATAAATAAAGCCTGCCATCCCTAACAATACCAGGGAGTGGATAGTAGAGGTATGTGTACCAATGGCAAGATGTGCATGGAGACCCAATTTAGCCTCTTGTAACAGAGGCCACATTGATTCAGTATTACATTAGAGTCTGGCTGCTTAGATGCCTAATCCAAACCAAGGGATCCTTTCTAGTAGCATAAGAAAAATCCATAGATTAAAAAAAAAAGTATTTTTAAAAATTTGGGAATTTAAAAAAAAATCATAAATCACAGGGATAAAACACTGCAAAGAAAATGGATTAGGCTTCCCACACCATTTCTAAAGATTCTGTCCCAAATCCCTAGTTTCCAGAAAACTAAGGATATGGTAGCAGAATTGGGGAGTTTCATTGCACAATTATTTCCTGCAATGGAAATTGGAGTGTACCACTGCATTACAATTGACATTCAGTTTTCTCCTTTTTAGACTGCCCCCCACCCCACCCCCCGATAGTAAGCAAAGGACTCCTATAAAGTCTTGATTGGAAAATGCTTGATTGCTAAATCCCATCAATTAAATGGAGGGAGGGTGTCAAATGAGGGAGGTGAGGGTATAGGGGAGGATTGTAACTGTGTGAAGGAGTTGATACAAATTCATTCATTTACAGGACACTCATTCTTTGCCTCTTTTAAACACTCCACTGAGGTACATGTGCCTCTTGCTTCCCTTGTGTTCCACCTAGTCTAGAGATTAAATAAGTACAGCTGAGATTTTGTAGCTCATAGCTTTAGGGTAGAGGGTATTCATTAGAGGATACACTCATACACTTTCAATGGAGGTGCAGGAGTTCAAGAACTTAAGTAGTAATGAAGTGCTCAAAGGAACACACAGCACACAGAGAAAGTCTCTGTTAGCTTAAAAGAGCTGTATTATTTACAACTGCTTAAGCATCACATATACACATGCACATACATACACATACTCACACACCCTGCTATACCCTGGCAGGAATGTAGAGAGATTGGGTAAGACCAGAACTCCATGGATGGCACTTGCATGCACAAATTGGGAGTCTTCCAAAAGAGACCTATAGCATACAACTTCTCTTTTTATACTTTGTCACCAGTGTCCATCACGTATTCCTTTGTACTTCATCACCCTTTTGTTAACCTGTTAGATTGCTGAATCAAAGGTAATTTGCAACCTGGCATTTAACTGTTAAGTTTATTATCTCTGGTTATGTTCTCCAGTTCTTGTGTGATCTTGTTTCCCTGTGACCTGCTCCATGATAATTCTTTTTTCTAGTAGTTGGTAACTAGAAACTGGTCTGGTGGCTTCCTTCATTTTGCACCTTCCTCTGCACATATTTTTTTCAGGTTCAAATTCAATTTACCTATTTCTCCCAATATTTTATTCCCCCCCCCTCTAATTTATTAAAATATTTTTTTTAAAAAAAACCAGAACAAATAACCACAAAAAGAATTCTTTGTACAAGAGTAATGTGTGGGCAAGCTGCAGTCTCTGTGCTCCTAGAGCTGCAAGAAGACCATTAGACTCCTTTGTTTATTAACTCTTACTTGGGATGAGGAGGCAGACCTGTAGATTTTGTTTCTGACCACTCATAAAGTTTTCTTATTCAATGTTGGTCACTTCATAGAGATTCCCTTTTGCCACAAACATCCCCAGATTCTGCTTGACTCAGATATATACACATCCACACATATTTTTATTAAATTAATAATATTTTTATTAAGTTAACAATTTTTATTAAAGGTTTTCACATGTAAATGATAGAGTGAAATTAAGAGAGAGAGAGAGAGAGTGAGTGAGTGAGTGAGTGCAGGTTAATATGTATGTATGTATGTATGTATGTATGTATGTATGTATAAAGAAGCAACTTCCGATCTTCTTTACAGCAGTTAAAAACTCACTATCTCTCCTCCCTTTTTAAAGTTACAGCATGGTTCTCTTCTTCCCATAGTCAACCCTTTTTAATCAGCAAATCCATAAATCACCAATTCATTATTTTTCCATTTTCAGCAAAAAGTCCTTCAGAGGTTTCCAGTCTTTTATAAAAGTACTTGTCTTATCCCTGATCAAATAGGTCAATTTCACCATTTCTGCAAGTTCCACCATCTTCACAATACATTCCTCTGTTGTGGGTCTTTTAGTATTTTTCCATCTTTGTGCATATAAGAGTCTTGCTGACTCAGCTTAATTTAATAACTGAGGTTTAGCCAAATGTCACGTACATCCCTAATGAATAACCAAATGGAAAGATGCAGAAACATAGGAAAAGATTTTCATTTTTATAATTGGTGAAAGGTACAGATGAATGGATTGCTACAACCTGCAGGTGAAACAACTTTAATTGCTTCAGATTAAACCCAATTGTAGAAGTATATTTTCAACTCTTCTACTGCAGAGATCTGACAAGACATGTACTATTTCATAGCTCTCTGGGGATAGTGTGGCTGTGATTGTGTTGCTTTGACCTCATTAGGGCAGATGTTGCTTTGTGCCAGTTGTGCTAATACTTTACAGCAGAGCTCTTGGAACCTTTTGTAGTTTTTCTGGCTAATTTTGGCTCAACTGTTGTGGGTTAGACAAGAATAAGTGATGCTGCCTTGAGCTTCTTGAAGAAAGGCCACAATAAAAATGTAATAGTGAAGGAGAGAAAAATGGTAAATCTGTGATAAATATTATTAGAGAAGATTGAGCTCTGGATAAAGCCTAGGTTTCAGATGGCTGCATATCCTTCGCCTACTGAATTTTCTCAATCAAGCTTTCTTATATCACCACATTCATCAATTCAGAAGTCTACAATTAAATAAGTCACTGGTGGGGAAAGTTAACATTTCACACACACACACACACACACACACGTATATGTTTATATGTTTTATATTTGTTTTGTAATACCTCAGGATGTTTTACATATGCTTTCAACATTGTGTTGTCAAATATGTTCTGTAACCAAAAAAATGTGCTGTGAAATATGTACTGTATTCAGCACAAAACAGGGATTATAAATATGCATTGTGTTCAGCATAGAAAGGTTGGATGTACCAATCTCAACCCAGGATTTGTTTATTTGTGGTGCTGAAAATCTATCTTAAAAAAAAAGCATGAAAATGCCTTTCTTGAAAACTGCCCTTCCCATTAGAAAGGATCATATGGCAATATCAAGAAATGATGATAATTTGGAAATTGCCACAGTTTTTATAAGCTTGCCATAGAAGGGACATCATTTTTAATAATTTATTTTTTTCTTTGCAGGTTGTCTTCTCTGATAGGGTCATAAAGAAGCACGGGAGAGAACAGGAAATTAAGCAACAATTATTAATATTATTTAAACCCTGGTATTTGTATTGGCTTATTGGAGTTTCACTGAATAGATGCTATTTCTTTCAACGTATAATTTGTGATCATGGTGAATCGTTAGACCAGCAAAACATTTTCTTTTAAATATAAAGAAATCAGTGCAGAAAATGAGCTTCTATAAATTTACACAGTTGCAGACCTGCCACATACAGTATCTTGGAATTTGTGATAACTTGTTAGGAAACCTTAACTGTTTCTCATCTTATTTTTAACAGAAACTGTTCTGGATTCAAGGAGCTGGCTCCTTCAGAGATCTCTCAAGGAAAATCCCTCTATTCCTTTGCACTTCACTTTAAACAAATCCTGCTGCCATGTCTCCAACCTTTGCAGGGAGGGAAACTCGAAGAGAAAAATTTCCCCTCCCACCTGAGATATCAGCCAGAAAATTATCGGACCTCTAGTTCTGAACAGATAAGAACAACTTTACAACTTACAT